GTATTTAGATTTTGGATATTGGACCATAATAGGTGAATGTCCAATTTAAAATTTTTAAGTTCTTAGACCACATTCATTCTGTGTCAGAAACCTATGCTGTGTCAAATATTTAATCACAATCCAAATTCAGAGCTGTATCAAGCTTGAATGTTGTGTCCATACTTGTCCCAACTGTTCAGGGTTCGACCTCTGCGGTCGTATCAAGCTGCGCCCTGCGGAGCATTTTATTCTATGTTGTTTCAATCTGGATAAAATTCTGATCTATATTAACTCGCATGCTCGTATATATAAACTCATATGAGGATAACGAAATGAGAGATCTATGTTTTAATTAGATTGATGTTGTTTACAAGTATTTGTAAAATACATTGATGCTGTACAAAACCCTCATTTTGTAGATAATCTTTAACTTCATGTCAATTGTAGGCCAATATATGCTCAATAAGTCATAAGTGTGTAAGATGGAGGAATTAACCTGTTTCTAATTGTCATTTTGTTTTCATAACTTTGACAGACAACCCTCCCTCTTTTTAACCGTTTGCAGTATTTCTTATTTCTTTAAAGCAAAGATATACTCAGACTTGCAAATTCAATCCATTCTGTGTTAATATTACACCAGTTTTGGAACTAAGTACAATTTGATGTGCTTCCACACTCACCAAAAGAAATATATACCCAGAAAATCATTACGAGTACCTTCTATCAAAAGACAAAAAAAAATAACAATTTGGGAGGGCAACTTATAAATGTCAATATCCAAAAAACATCTCTAGAGATCACTTGTATCAAATCTTATGAAAAAATTCTGAATTTGGAAATTTTAGGTCAAGGTCACTGTTATTTAACAGCTGAATGGAAATTGTAAATGTGCACCCTATAAGTACAAATGTCAATCTAGAATCACATTTGGCAATAGAAATATCAAATTAGTCCTAAATATAAAAACTATATTAATAATCCTTTGAATTATTTGAATTTATTTTGCTATAAACGCACATATATGTGGTGGTGGCCAGCTGTTTAAACGTGACTCTGCGTTTTCCTTGAAATTTTAGCTTTGACCCAAATTTAAGAAAATTGTGACCACTGTAGACAAAGTCGACATCAATATTTCGATGAGGCTTGTTCTCCTCTTTCCAATGATATAAAATACAGCCGTGTGTTATTCCGTTAACCCAAATCAATCATATGCGTTGACTGGGCACCCTACTATATATATAGGAGCACATTGGCTATAGCTGATTTCTGATTATAGTTTGGGTTTATAAAATTCATTAATCAAACATAGTATGAATGAAACAGTTAAAGGGCATTGCTTTGTACAATGTATTGATATTTGACTAAGAATAGATATTTAACAAATACAATGAAGTTAAAATGAAAATATGAATTGAAGTTTTAAAGAATTTTCAGCAAATACTTCGCAATTGTGAATATTTGTAAGAAGTTGGTAGAGTATAAAAAAAATCCTCTAAATATTAAAATTCAACTGAAAAAAGTTTGTAACGAAGCGTTTTGACCTGAATTTTTCTTCCTCAATACCTGCATTTTAATATTCTGAGGTTGACAGGGCCAAAATAAAAAAATAGGTATGTTTCCTCATGCTCCCAATGAATGGAAAAAAGGCCGCATGCTCAAAATATTTGTTGGTCCTTTCTAAAAAAAAAAAAAATTCGTCTGACTGAACTCTGATTTCTGGAAATAGCAATTTGGATTCGACTTCCTATTTAATGTGTGTCAAAATGTACAAAGCATATCAATAACAGGATACAAACATGACAATTCACAGTAAAGGTGAACACAAAGCTTGATGAATCGCATCAACAGAAATAATTTTAATTTAATATTTGGTCTGCAGCTTGATAATGTTGAAGTTTAGTGAGTGAGCAATTATTACATCTGCCATGTTGCCACTTCCTGTTTGCCAATAGTTTGAAATTTTACAACACTAATTGTACATGGAATATTTTCTTCAAAATTTTCTCTGCTCTTATTGAAGGGAATGATTTAATATTTGGTTGCAGCTTGATAATTTTAAGTTAAAGTAAGTAAGCAATTTATATATGCCTTTTTATGGGATGTTTTATGGTATACCATTGTCTGTCCGTACGTCCATCTGTCTGTCTATCCCTCCGTCGTTAACATGTCGGACATTAACTCAAAAACACTTTAACCAATTTTTATGAAACTTTGGTGAATTGTTTATATCAATTGACGTAAGCTTCCTTTCAATTTTTATAAATTTTAGATTTTAAGTTTCCAAGTTATGGGATTTTATTCATAAAAAGAGGGATTTTCCAGTTTTCGGACAATAACTCAAAAATGCTTTGAGCAGCTTTTATGAAACTTTGATGACTGGTTTATATCTATTAAGATAAGCTCCCTTTTGTTTTTTATAAATTTCTGAGTTATGGAACTTTATTCTTTGAAAAAGCGACGGGTGTATCATGCGCTTCATGGCATTTTTGTCAAAGTTTTCTCTGAACATATTGAATGGAATCATTTGATATTTGGTCTGCAGCTTGATACTGTTGAGTTGTAGTGAGTTGGCAATTTTTACATCCACCATATAGCCACTTCCTGTTTGTCCATAGTTTGACATTTTACAACACTAATTGTACTAGGAAATTTTCATCAAAAGTTTTGTTGGCATCCTTGAAAGGGAATGATCAGTTATGCTCCAGTATACATATTACCTCATTCAATTTCATGTAGCAACGCAGGTTCAGACTGAGATTTGGTCTTATAGCTCCCTATGTATTTCACTTTCTTTGCGCAACTTTTTAGCTTTGAGTGTTTTCAGGGGTCCCGAAACTGTCATATTTGCCAGTCATGACCAAAACTGAAAGCTATTTGTTCTAAATGGCAGATTGGGATTTAGGTCAATTTTTTTTACAGAAATAATTTTGGTCATTTCATTGAGATTGGGTTTCTTTGTTTCTTAATTGCCATTTTGCACTTGTTTTTGTTTTGTAATCCTTTTCCGGTAATAAAACTGCTCCTCAAGTATAGTATGATAATCCTGATCGAGGGCTCTCCTATTAACCATATTAAAGCCTCCTGGAAAAATTGGCTTATGATTGCTTATCACTTTTTACCTGTTTTAATTCACACCTCAGTCATCACAAGCTCAGAACTAATATTATAAAGAAATCAAAATTCCATGACAGCTTTCTTCATTATTTAATTACTTTGCAGCAAAGACAATTGTCAATTCCGATTTAAAAATTAAAACTTGATTTAATTTTAAGTATAGTAATTTATCATGAATCAAACCTGTGCTTTATTTACTAGTAATACGCATGCGTGAAATTATTTTCACCAGATTAGACACTAAATCATAAATGCAAAGTGATTTCATACTAAATTATACAAGTTCAAATATTATAGATCTGTTATATTCAAATCTTTTAAAGATGATGAAATTAAAAATCTGGTGATTCTCTGTCAATTTGGTAAACAAAACAAATCCAGGAAATGAATCTGTAATCACTCAAACTTTAGTATTAACATGAAACTTCACCTTCAAAATCAAAAGAAGCATTGGGGATTCCTGAGAAATTTACTGATTTGAGTCATTAAAATAATTTTAATTTTAAACTCTTGCATTCCATAAATTGTTCTTCAACATTTTCAGAAAAAAGGAAAGAAAACTCATGAGGTAAATTTGAAGTAACAGTCAATACAAGTTCGTTGATGCCATGAATCTTGTGTGAATAATTTCAACAGTTCGAAAAAGGCCCCCAACTTTAAAGTCAGCTCAAAATGACCGAAACTGTGTGAAAAATTTCCGATCCTTGGTTTTCAATGAGGGTCAATAAGAATGTTTTATAAGCATGATAAGGCCACAACCTTAAAATTGAGTAGAATTCTATAACTGCTTTTTCATATTCTCTGATCTAGTATTATGAAAAAGAAAGTTCATTAAAAACCTTAGAATTTTGAACCGTCTGAAAATACATGTAGTACTAACATTGAACTTGGTTACATTGAAGCCATTATTAAACACTCTAGTGTATGACATTATTGTATGATGTTTCATAACTACTACAATATACACATGTACTATGATTAAACATATTTTGTGATCAAAACATATTTTATCGAGATTCCACCACATTTAGTGGTGCCGTGACCAGGATATGGATTCAAAGCTGTAGTCAGTTCATACTGGAAACAAAGGTGCTGTCACGAAGTTACTGTTAAAATTCAACCTGTTAAAATTTAACACCAATACAGAAGTTGACAAAGTGAAAGCTCTTGATGATGCTGTCACGCAGAAACAGAACATTTATTGATGACGTTCCACAACACCATACAATAAAGGGGTTAAAAATGCAGGATTGGAAGGGATCTGCTGAAAGAAACAGATTGTGCCACCTGGCGGCAAATCTGTAGTGACACATAGATCTCACTCTTGTCATTTTCATCCATATCACACTTTTGTTAATTGGCAACTCCTTGAAAATTGCTTGGTAGAATTCAACCAAACTTGCACAGACTCTTGAACATGACATGAAGTTGTGCAACTGCTATTTGAATTTTTGATGTGCGATTTTCCATTTCAAAACATGGATTTTTCTAACAACACATTTTACTTGAAAAACTCACAAATTTTGGCAAAAAACAGCATTATCTTACATTGTGTGTGTGTTTGTTATGCAGGAATCAAGTTTGACAATAAAACTCATAGATGATGTCAAAAATCAATGTATGTAAAAGACTTTTTCTGGTAATTGAAATGACTTGAATAAAATGACAAATGTATTGAAGCTAGTAAAGTTGGCATCTGGTAAAATGATATATAGACAATTTTGAAATAATATATATCAAAAAAATGCTTAAACTTCTTGTCATTCTAGCTTCCATCCAGCACATTCAATTTCCAGAAAATTGACCAATGAAGGTTGATATTTAGGGCTAATTTAAAAAGAGAGAAATTTCAAACATAATAAAACTAATTACTTATACTTGAACTTGAAATATATATCTATTTCCAGACTCCTGTGAAATTATCAAGGACTTTATTATTACCAACTGTGTTCATCGTTGTCTGTTCTGTTGTCTTTAAGGTAAGTCTGGGTCATGTCACTTAAAGGATTAATAGTTGCTATATGTAAACATATGGGTTCATGGTGTATTAGTCACTGAGACAGACACATATTAAAGAAATGATGAGTCAACATCTTAAATTATATTGTAGCAATAATGACAGCACCTTTGGCTGGTCTGGTAATAATATTGTAAAAGTTTAGGAGGGGGTGTGTAGTTTTACACAGTCATCTTCATTTGGGGATGATATATTGAATTGCAACACTAATTCAATATATAGTCACATATAATGAGAAGAAGATCCCTACCTCTCAGGTAACGGTCTAGACTGAAATAGAAACAGAAGGTGTTTCAGGCAATAACTACAAAATCTTATATGGGATTGCAATAAAATATGGAAGGTCCCAATTTAGCTCAACATGTCCAGGGTCAAGGTCACACCATCATATTCACATGTAATGGAGTCCAATTTGAGAACAATGGGGACATTACCATGGCTTAGGGTATTGTTAACTTGTTCACTAAGGTTCTTAAATGAATGTTTAGAATGATTGTTAGGTGTACAGCTTTATTTGATAGGTGCATTTGAGCTTGACCTCATTTCATTATGCAATAAGCAACATTAAGGTAGATCCGGTGTCTTCCACCACCTTGGATTGTAAAATAACAGAATACAAACGGTTGAGATCATTTATGAAGGATGCAAATTTTGAGAGAGGAATAGAATTCATTTGTAAGAATTTATACGACCAAAAAAATTAAAAAAATTTTGGTCATATATTGTTATGACGTTGGCGTCGTCGTCCGAAGACACATTGGTTTTCGCACTCTAACTTTAAGTGAATGGATCTCCATGAAATTTTACCATATGGTTCAATACCACAAAAGGAAGGTTGGGATTGATTTTGGGGGTTATGGTACCAACAGTTAAGGAAAAAGGGGCCAAAAATAAGCATTTTTGTAACTTCCAGACATAACTTGTGTGGTAGTGTATGGATCTCTCTGACATTGTACCACAAGGTTCCATATCACAAAGGGAATGCTGGGATTGATTTTGGGGGTAATTGACTCAAAATTTTAGGAATTAGGGGCCAAAAAAGGGGCAAAAAACAAGCATTTTTCTAGTTTCATGATAATAACTTGTGAGTAAGTGTATGGATCTTTCTGAAATTGAACTACAAGGTTCCATATCACAAAGGGAAAGCTGGAATTGAGTTTGGGGGTAAATGCCCAAAACGTTTAGGAATAAGGGGCCAAAAATAGCATTTTTCTAGTTTCCAGACAATAACTTGTGTTCAAGTGTATGGATCTCTCTGAATTGTACTGCAAGGTACCATACCACAAAGGGAAGGCTGGGATTGATTTTGGGGTTAATTGCTTCAAAATATTAGGAATTTGGGGCCAAAAAGGGGCAAAAAACAAGCATTTTTCTAGTTTCAGGGCAATAACTTGTGTGTAAGTGTATGGATCTTTCTGAAATTGGACTACAAGGTTCCATATCACAAAGGGAAAGCTGGGTTTGAGTTTGGGGGTAATTCCCCTAAACGCTTAGGAATTTGGGGCCAAAAAGGGGCCAAAAAACACATTTTTCTAGTTTCCAGACAATAACTTGTGTTCAAGTGTATGGATCTCTCTGAAATTGTACTGCAAGGTACCATACCACAAAGGGAAGGCTGGGATTGAGTTTGGGGGTGATGAATCATAAGGGGGTTCAAAAAATTTTGGGGGGGGGATTTTTTTTTTTTTTTCCTTTTTTTTTTTCTTTTAAAATTTTCCATTTTAAGTTGGTTATTTCTGATTTATATTTAAAAGCAAATAATAATGATATGGTAGGAGATACACACCAAACAGGATGTGTAAATTATTATATAATAAGTATTGTGCAATAGCAAGAAATTTTCAATTGCACAGTATTGCACAATAGCAAGAAATCTTCAATTGCACAGTATTGCGCAATAGCAAGAAATCTTCAATTGCACAGTATTGCGCAATAGCAAGAAATATCCAATAGCACAATATTGCGCAATAGCAAGAAATTGTCAATTGTACAGTATTGCGCAATAGCAAGAAATATTCAATTGCACAGTATTGTGCAAAAGAAGATACTTCGTATAAATTGCTTATTTCTTGACCAATTTCAATGGGGTTTTATTCTTGAATTCTTGGGGTTCTTTAATATGCTGAATCTAACCGTGTATTAAGTTTTTGGATTTTGGGCCCCGTTTTTAAATTGGTCTACATTAAAGTCCAAAGGGTCCAAAATTAAACTTAGTTTGATTTTAACAAAAATTGAATTCTTAGGGTTCTTTGATATGCTGAATCTAAACATGTATTTAGATTTTTTATTATGGGCCCAGTTTTCAAGTTGGTCCAAATCGGGGTCCAAAATTAAACTTTGTTTGATTTCAACAAAAATTGAATATATGGGGTTCTTTGATATGCTGAATCTAACCATGTATTTAGATTTTTGATTTTTGGGCCCCGTTATCAACTTTGTCCACATTGAGGTCAAAAGGGTCCAAAATTAAACTTTGGGGTTCTTTGATATGCCATGAATCTAACCATGTATTTAGATTTTGGATATTGGACCATAATAGGTGAATGTCCAATTTAAAATTTTTGTTCTTAGACCACATTCATTCTGTGTCAGAAACCTATGCTGTGTCAAATATTTAATCACAATCCAAATTCAGAGCTGTATCAAGCTTGAATGTTGTGTCCATACTTGCCCCAACTGTTCAGGGTTCGACCTCTGCGGTCGTATCAAGCAGCGCCCTGCGGAGCATTTTATTTATTTTAATGAAGAAAACTATTTGTTTTATCTTATTAATGACTGTTTTTACAAATACAGAATATTTTTATTTGATTCAATTTTTATTTTACCTTGCCCATGTGAGCTTTTGCCATCATTTGCTGTCTGTCATCGTCGTATACTTTTTCAAAGATCTTCTCTTCTTAAACTACTTAACCAATTTTAACCAAACTTCTGGTGAATGATCCTTATGGTATCTAGTATATAGTTTGTGTTTTTTTTTTATTCCAGTCAGTCAATCAACATGGCCGTCATGGCTGAAAGTAGAAGATAGGGGTAAAATGCAGTTTTTGGCTTATATCTCAAAAATTGACATGGGGTAAAATTTATCAACAGGTCAACCTATTAGTGAAGAAATTTTCAGACAAATCAGACAACATTATTTGGAGTTATTGCCAATGAAATATAATTTTTATGGAATTTTTGAAAATATTAAAGATCAGGAGAAAATTTTAAATAGCAAAAATGTTCATCAAAGTAAGATCTACAAATAAGTATTTTAAAGAACAGACTTTGTCACCGAATCCTTATTGGAGTTATTGCCTTGAAAGAAGTTAGTCTTCAATAGTAAATCCACGGTCAGCTAGTACCATATCACCTGGACTAATATATTGAAGAAAACCACATTTCTCAACTATTTCCCTGTCGCTAATAGATCCTTCATACAAATCTGATATATATACTATTGAACCATTTGGAGCAATAGCCACAAGACATTTATATGTATGGTGATTTTTATAAGAATAGAGATTGCCTTGCCTTTTAAAGTCTCTAGGCATCTGTACAAAAAATTCAGTGCAATCAATAGTACAACGAATATTCTTGAATGTTCTAAATACTCTTGGTAGATTATGCTTTAAGTGTTGTCTTTCTGGAAACATGTCTTCGCGTAAATCATTGAAATGACAATAAAGAAGTTGAATCCAGGTTGAGAATATTGTGCTGACAGTAGATGCAGCTATACCAAAAAATGTGCTAAAGTGTCTAAACTATATCCACGTCTTAGTCTTACTAAAGTCAAAAAGAATTCATCTTCTGGTTGAAGTTTCCTTGTACCTTTTCTAGAACTTTCCTTTGCTACTCCTTTACCATCCCAATAAGTCAAGTTGTATACACTATCACCAAGAAATTTGAAAAGAATCAAAAACTGCTCATATGTTAATCCAGTAAATAGTTTCATTTTTGCACCATCATTTTTTACTGCTTTTAAAGATAAGGATGTATCAACCTGAGCTTCTAAATTCATTAAATTTTCTTGTTCGCCCTTTGTTTTAATTTGATTTTTTAACAACATGTTTTCAATTTTAGCATTCAAAACCTCCTTCTCATAGACCGTTTGAATTTCTTTGTGGACTTTAGATGCAACATCTGTCTCAAGGCTTCCAAAACGGTCATATATTCCAGACATTTGTATAATGTCCGGTAAAAGCCCGGCTGGGCAAAGCACGAAACGGTCATCTACTTTTTAGATTTCAGGGCAATCTTAAGAGACGGTCATTTTAACATAATTCGCGATCTTTTTGACCCAACCTTTTGCCTTTAACAGCCACACATTTCCGGTCATAAAAGTGACATGATCATTAAGTACTATCAAAACAACCCCTACTTTAATACCTTCTCATTTTAATCAAGGCTAATTAGTTGTCGAACAGCTGAAATTTACCTGTTCAGGTGACAGGTAAACTATTCTGTACCGGACATTGATCGGTCTATTCAAAGTTATTTTCTTACATTTCACCTGTTTGCATCTAATTAATTTAGTCAGAAAGATTTAAATTATCAGAAATACATTTACAAATAAGATTTGATGAAAAAATTAAAGAGGTGAAAATGAAAAATCGGCATAACCATGTTGTTTGAACCAGAGACATGTCTCTGTTTGAACTAGTACATGTGTGCGCATGTGCGCAGGTGTGAAATTTAATTATGCATCCTAATTTCTTCAAAAAATGTTTAAATTGTCATTGATACCTTTATCTCACGTTTATTTCGATTATTTTCTTGAAGAAATAACGTAGAATGAGCTACTTACACTCATTCATGCTTTACAAACGTACACGGAATTTACGTATCCGTCTCTGGTCCATGTTTTACTATTGTCAAGATAACATCCGGTTTCAGATTTAAAAACGAAAGTAAAGTTTTTGACAACGTTATTTTGCACAAATAAAGAGTCTAAGGCAGATATAAGTACGCTGATGTTGCACA